ATTTGCCATCTGGAGTGCAGGAGTGTGGTGAACCAGCTTTAGGAGATAGTTACTGAAGCCAATTAGATTAATTATCACTCTTCTATTTCTATATGTTTCAGTGTTACATGCTTATATGCTCCAGTCAAGCTCTTTTCATAGGTAGAATAGTATTTCCCTTTCAAAATTAGTAAAATCCTTGTTTATCCTATATAATATTTCATTGTCATTAACTACATAGGTAAACTCCAAGAATGACCAATATACTTGTTGGTATATCTTTATTGAAAACTCATTATTTTCTCTTTATTATTTAATATTTATTATAAAATAATCATATTAATTAAAATTTAAAAACTGCTTAAGTGTTTCTATCCCCCCTTCTTTTTTTACTTACCAAGATTTGCTAACTAAAATCTTAGTGTTCCAGTTATGACCAAACAAGAGTCCAAACTGAAACCTCATTGAAAATCAGTTCCTTGTCTTCTGCAATGGACAATGAATACATAAAGTAAAAAAATGTAGAATGTAAAAACAAATATATGTACATTTTGTGAAAGAGATGCTTGTGCCTTTTCAAAAATCCATGGTGGTCCCCTGTGTATATAAGTCCTCTCAACATACACAATTGTAGAAAGTTAAGTGTTTAAAATGCTCCCAAAACCTAAAGTACCCTTTGTCCAATTTATACAACCTAATGATGCATCTGCAAATACAGAATTACTTTCAGCTTTGACTGCAGTAAATGACAATTACAATAAAGTTATGGGTAGAGGGTTGAGGAAGTCACCTCTCCTGGGTAATGACTTACTTAACAATGATTACTGAATTAGCCCAATTAGAATTATACATCAAACAGAATGATGGTTACCCATCATACTGAACTAACGCCGGTAGCTGAAGTCAAACACTATAAATGATAGACTAGGCAACTATTTACTGCAGTATATTGTGCAAACCCAAACGCTGAATCAAAAGGAATTGCACTTGCTGTTGAGATGTATACTAAGTACAACAGTTTCTTTTTCTGCGGAGTAGAGAACCGATTGACTCAGTCTTTTGTCTTTAATTTTGGATTAAGTAATACTGGGGCTAACGGTTAATATAAATATTTTAATTTTTTAAAATATACAAGGTATTTTCTGTATCGTGCAGGTAATATAAAAAGCAAGCGGCTTTCTTTTCTGCATCAGAAAAGCTAATAAGAACTACACTAGATTGAACAAGCTGCTAAGAGGAATAAATTCCTTATTTGCCAAAACCCGTTCGAGGCGCTTTTTTATTTTTTCTGACCCCATTTTCTATCCGTAGGTGCGGTTCTCTCGCTTCCTCTGCGATTATTGATAGCGACATGGCGGTAACTCCTGCAGGGATGGCGGTGGATGTTCAGGCACGATTTGGGCATTCGGTGAAAGGACTGCTGACCGAGAAGGTGGCCAACTGCGGTACGGATATAATCGCTCTCACTAAACAGGTGCTCAAGGGCTCGCGGAGCGCCGAGGTAGGTGAGACTACGCGGTCCCCCCCCCCCCAAATAGTACTCTGGAACTCAGTTTCAGTCAGTACAAGAGGTTTGCAATGTATGGTGGGATTTGTAGTCTCTTTGAACGCTTCTGCTGGCAGCGTTTCTAAGGGAAATAGTGCTAGAAAACCCAGGGCTGACCTAGAGCTGGTTAGTTTCATGGGATAAAGATGGTCAATTGATTCTTCTTAAATGTCAGGGGATGGAACTGATGATTTTAACACGTTTAAATGCTCAGTCACATTCATCCAATATTATATTTAGCACCCCTATTTTAAAACTGAAGTAGTTCAGACCTTTTGCCTATAATAACAAAGTTCATGTACGTATAGTGGAAGTGTTCTGCTGTTGATTTAGCCAAACAAGCCAATAAGAAAGAACGGAGATTTTTATTCTTGAGTATCATTGGTGTTGCTTTCCTAAGGTTAAAAGCCTATTTGTTTCTGCCCCAAAGACCCAAGTATGTATCAACTATTATCACACTAGTTTTTTGAAGAAACTAGACGAAAAAGCGGTAAATCCCACGGAAATCCTGTAGTAGAAATTAATATTGAATGGTGCTGGATATGTGTTGCCCAATTGCTGAAACTTGTCTGAAAGTAATTTCAGTAAGGTATCATGGCAAGATTTGACTGTAAGCATATCTTTATGCTTTCCTGAGGTATACATCTCCCATCATCCTGTTTATGTTACAGTGGTGGCTGTATTTGTGGGAATTGCATGGTAATACATCTGAAAGGTATCAAATTAAACTGGCTTGGTATGTTTTCCACCAGCCCTAAACTTCAATCCTTAATTCACAAACAAGTAATTACAAATTGCTTACCCTCAGGATATATCTGCTGAACCAGCACAATTGGTGATCAAGAAATTTGAGACCATCAGTTTAAAATAGGCTTCTATAAATCACGATATCTATTAGCATAATTAATAATTACCATAAATTTTGTATTACACCAAAAAGTTTCACTTATCCTTAATTATCATATATTATGAAACTTCTTATAAATAATTTCAGAAAATCCTTTTTGTTTAGAATGTTTGTCCAATAAGTTATTGCTTCTGGATTAAATATGAGTTCATAAGGATATAATTACCAAATCTTACTGTCTCCTGAAAGCTCACTATTAGCGCATTGTCAACCTTGAATAACAGTGGAAGAGCACTAGCTTGAAGAACATAAAGTTTGTATCTCTTCCTATGGCTTTCATGTCTTTTAGTTCCTAGGACAGGCTGCCAGAAATATGGTGATGCAAGAGGGTGCCATTCTGCATTCTGAAGATGTAAGTATGGAATAGAATACTTGCCTGCTAATATTAAATACATACCTCTGTGTGAGTTGCAAGACATGTAGACAAGGAAATGTCAAGTTCAGGGTTGAAAATGAAAAGATGTTTATTTTGTGCATAATACCAGTCAGTCATTTTAATAAATAAAGTTAGGAGAAATCATTGTAACACAAAACATGCATTTCTATACATATGGAAATAGATCAGGAGGAATGTAGCTTTTGCTAAGGAAGAATTTGAATGAAATTATTCCTGAGCCAGAATAGAGGTCTAAATATCACCAAACTGGAGGGTAAAAATGAATATTGCCAGACATAAAACACTTACTTGCCAGAAAGTAAAGTAGTGGTGCAACTTTCTGCTGCTTTCTTTTGTGCAGAAATTCTTAACCTGAGGTCCATGGGTAGATTTCAGAGGCCTTAGGAATTTGGATGGGGAAAAATAATTTGTTTTCATATATATTACTGTTTTTGTAATTGTTTCTTATTTTTTAAAATACTTTGATAACTAATCAATTTTCTTTGTAATACAGTCTATATCCATGTATTAAATTGTATGAATTTAAATATATTTTTCTGAAAAGGTATCTGGAGGTTTTTCCAGAGTCTAAAAGGGGTCCATGGCATACACACACATACACAGAGAATTAGAATCCTACTCTAGTGTATTAAATCTCTGCCATCTACACCTATCTTTGCTTTGTGGTTTTTTTTTTCTGGGCTGCAGGACGTACATAAAAATATATATATACTGGATTTCAGCAACATGTTATTTTCCTAGATTTATGTAGGCTCAGAGGCATTGTTACAAATATTATGCCTGAGACTTACTTTTGAAATTAAAAGATCTGTTTTGAAAAGTTATCAGCATGGACTGGAAAATTGGGGAACATTGGGATAGGTATTTGTGGACATGCTGGTACTCATGGATAACATGTTGGAGTCCCAGACCACATTTTCAGGTTTCAGCCTAATGAGGCCTTTCCCAATTTGATGCTTTCTGATCAGTTTGGATTCTTAACTCTCATAATTCCCTACTATTGTGATCTTTGCCTTAGGAATATGGAGATTGTAATTTAGCATACTAGAAGGGCATCAGACTGTGGAAGACTAGTTTGGAATGATGCCTAGCTTTACATTTTTCAAACAGTTTATTTAGCTTTTCTCTATTTTTTCCAAGGAAAGTGTTTATCATTTTAACCCAAATCTCTATTAATATTTTTCTAGTGTTGAATTGTAGTGTACAAATATGGTGGTAGTTACCCAGATGGATTGTTGTCGACTTTACTAATGCTGCTATTGGGAGAAAATAATTCGTGTAAGAGTTTAATTATCATCATCATCTCTACTCATATGAAAAAAGTGAAAGCCTACAAAAGCAGTCATTTTAAAATTAGAGATTTATCAAAAGTGCATGTTTTCTTCAAATACTAGGACAGCTAAGGAGAACTTAGTATGTGATTATTTCTCATTATCATGTAATGCCAAATGATGATTGCATTGTTCACTTCATTGAGGGAAAAGGCATTTACTTCATATCTGTCTCTTTGCAGAGTTTAAGAAAAATGGCTATTATAACTACTCACCTACAGTACCAGTAAGTATATACACCTCACACACTATATTTGATGGGATAGTCTCCCTGGAAATGCAAATAAATATATAAAAAAAACTGATAGCATATTTTCAAATTTAAAGATTTTATTGAAAATCTTTATGAAGATTTTCTCATTTCAGTCAGATACATTGTTAGTCTGAAAAGATGCTAATAGACTCCTCATTATTGATTACCGCAGAGTAACACAGCTCTCCTCCTACAGCTAAAAATACAACTGAGAATGGCATAGAGTAGACTACGTTTTGCAGGGTAGTGGTGGTGGTTAGAAATCAGCATTTTACATTTTTAATATCAGTGTTATTGTAACATTTCAGGGAAGAAGTGAAGCATTACAGAAGTAAATGATCCTTAAAACCTACCAGAATAGGAAGTTTTTGCCCTGATTTTTGGAAAATTGTATTTTTAAGGATATTCCTGTTTTTATATATATATATAATATATTTTATTGATTTTTTAACAAAGCATAAGTCACTCAATAATTGGTAAACAGCGTGTTGTCTGGGTTACATTTGTAAAAACACTCCTTAACAATTGATTTCTATAATCTGTATTCCATATATTAATTTTAGTTGATTTCCTCTTTCCCCAAAACATCCTTTTTTGCAAACATTGAGTGAATACAATTCTTATTGTTTTAATAAATGACAAAATAAATGGAAATAATTTTTCCAATATTCCTAAAAATAATCATATTAGTATAATATTTCTTTTCAGTCATTTGGGTTGCCTTATCAATCCTGTTACAATCCTTATTTTAGTTTATTTCTCCCACCAAATTCTAAATATTCTTACTAGTGAAGATTTTCTCAACGATTAGTTGAGGATATTCCTGTTTTGTCCTTTACCCTCCCAAACTGAATTTTTTTTTTGAATTTGTCATCTTCCCTCATTACAAACACTACAAACACTTATTGGGGCCCATATGTATCCAATGACTTACCTGGTAAAGTTTATCTGGGATGTGTCTGGAAACTCCAGCGTCCAGTTCTAATCTTGGTAAGATGGGCTTCTCTATGAATTGTTTCTCAGAAAAATAAATTCAAATAAATGAAATAAGGCCCATTCATCAGCAACATGACAGTTGGAAGCAAGTCTTTTCCCTCATAGCTGATTTGCATGGGAAGTCTCTTTTTCCAGGTAATGAAAAAAAATAATCACACTCTGCCCTTCTGAATGTAAAGCATAGCATTCCTCTGTATGTAAGAGGAATTGCCTTTGCTTGTTTACCAACAGAAAAAAAGGGCAGGATTTGGTTCAAAGGCCAGAGGTTTGGAATGCAGTGAATGTCTCCCTTTCCAAGGCCCCACTACTTACTTTTGTCCTGTTTTGTAGGGTAGGGCAATCCAAAGCAGCTTTGGGGCTATATTAAGTTCCCTACCACTGGATCACTTTGCCCAAGGTACAAGCATTCTTGGATACCAACCCAAAGGATAGAAAATAAGTAAGGAGCTTTGATGGGCAATATAAAACAGATATTACTGCCTTCAGTTGTCCTCTTCCCACAACACAGATTTATTTGCATCATTAAAAGTAACCTAAATATGTCAGTTATTTCTAGATATATCAGTAAAGTCAGAAGTCTGTTTGATTTCCATGGATCCTCAGCAATAAATCAGCACTCCTTTTATCAACTCAAAATTCATTTCAACTCACATTGTGTTTGTTTCCCCTTTAGGCAAGAAGCTATTCAAAAAAAGTAAGTATGCTGTTTCTATTTGATTGGGGGGTTATCTACTCTAGAAATCTTTATTACTGCTTTTTCAAAATTTGCTTGCATCCATTTTGTTTGTGTAGATGTTTTTTACATTGCAAATTCGGTAGAATTAGGATTATGCTGCCTCTTCACAGAGCTTACTCAATTTGCACTTTGTATTATTAAATACTAAATATTAATATTCAGTATTCAATATTATTAAACACTACAATGATTTAATGCTACATTAAATACCTTGCTTTTTAAAATGTGAAAAAAAACCATAGATGAAAGCTCAGGTGATTTTTATGGTGACAAGAAAGTAAATCAGATATGGAATTGCTCTGCCTTTTCCCATCTTCTGCCATTTTTTTTTGATCCTACTGATTTTTATGAGAGATTCTTTATTACTGAAGCTTGCATTCTGGAATACGTATAGTAGTGACCAAGCTCTATTGGACACAATAGCACTTACCTCTGAGTAAATACGCATAGGATTGTATTGGAAAGGTACTTCATACAGGGACTAGGCTTAATCTAGACCAAATTCATTCTGCCAATAAGCATCTTTTTATGACTTTTAATTGTAGTCATCTTAGTTTCCTTGTTTTTTCCTCCCTTTCTATCAGAAAAATATAAGCTGCAAATTATATGTACTCAAAAGTTTGTATATGTAGTATGTAAATCTAATAGTTTAGATATTACAGCTAATATTTTGTTTGTATTCATTCGCATTTATTAAATTTGTTTGCCGACCATCTGCCCACAAGGTGACATTTCTTGCTATAAGTAAATTGTAAGCTTTTTACCGTAATCAATTCTATATTAAATATTGAAACAGTAATATTTGTTACACATAAAAATAAATTATGTCCCATTCTTCCAATCTATTCACCATTATATTACATAATTTGGGAAGAGGAGTTCAATGGATAAAAACAGCACGTGCCTCCTTATTTTATTCTGAAACAGCTAGATGCATCCTTTACGTTATGGAAGTCTTTTTTTCAGCAATTATATCTAAGTATTCATATCCACTTGTTAAACTCTCCCACAGCGTTGAACAGTCTTCAAATTTGCGTGATCAGCTGAGCCATCTGCTAAAATGAAGAGAAGAGTTTGTAAGAGGTAACAAACAGTTGGAAAAGAGTAGAAGAAAATACACAGTGGGGGTTTACAGAATACCTTTCCCTGTTCTACAGATGCACTATAAGACTGAGTCAGAAGTTATCTCCCAGATGTAATGCCCCATCTGATCTGGAAATGTGGACAATTTTTAAATTACAAATGCTACCTTTATACTGTAAGAGGGTAGGTGCATCAGTGTATTAAATGACAGTTTCTCTGTGTTGATGCCAGTTTCTCTTTAGCAGCACTGATTTCTTTAAGAATTCATATCATTCTAAATAATCAAATACATCTTTTTCTGGTTTTGAGTACTTCAAGAGATGAATTTTTCCTCCTTTCAGACTTTTTGAAAACTCATAAATTTATAGTGCAAATGCTTGATCACTGATCGTAAAAAACATATAGATAGTTCTCAACTTACAATTGTTTGTTTAGTAACAATCCAAAACTACAATGGCCTTGGAAAAAGTTACTTGGGACTGTACTTGCACTTACAACCATCGCACCACCTCATGATCACAATTGCAATGCTGGCATTTTGCAGCTGGCTTGTATATACAACCATTAGCAGCATTCTGCACGATCATGCTTTGCAACCTTTTTTTTTGTTGATTTTTGACAAAAATTGCCCATTGGGAATGCTGAATTTGCTTAACAATCGTGTGATTTGCTTAATGACCACCATAAAAATTGTTGTAAAACTGAGTCTGGCTGAATTTATGATCACAACCACTTATGACAGAAGTTCTGGCCCCAATTTTGGTTGTAAGTTGGCGACTATCTGTACATGTCTAGTTGAAATTCCTGCATTTATTATTTACATCTATAATATTGGTGGATTTATACTGGTTGTGATGGTTTTGGCAACTGTGCCTTTGTTGGTAATTCAACAAGCTAGTTAAAGCCTCGTTTAATGTGGGAACTTAGCCATTTTCTTGAGAAGGATAACTCTTTGGGCATACTATCTTTAATTCATACGTAAAATGTTTTCCATTGATGTAAAAAAATGTTTATCCTAACCTATACAGTGCTGGTAGAGAATTAAACTGTGCAGGATTTCTGGCAGCCACTATGTGTATATAATTTTTTGATTTAATAATTCCATCATTGCTAAGAGGCCAGAGTGGTAGAGGAGAGTGGTGCTATTTAACAATTGCACTTCCTAAATATTTTTCTTTTCTGTCCTGCAAAATCTGTTCACTGACATTCTGAGGAGCTCAGAGTGAATATCTAACTTCAAAGAAAGTACATGTTTTCAAGGTCTGGACTCTTTGTTTCTTCCAATCTTATCTTAAGTTAATGAGGACACAGTCTGCTTGAGTAGAAACCTGGGAATTTACTTACTTAGATTTGCTTTAAATTCCTAATTTAAGCAAGTTTCTTTTTAAAAAAGGCATGTTTTGTTCTGTAACAATGCTTACATTTAGAGTATAATCTTGTACATAGCAATAAATATATAAGCATAATTTTGAAGTAAACATAGAATTCTGTTATTTTTTCCCTATTTCTTGTTGCATAATCTGTTATGTGAATATAAACTGTAATGAAACAAATCTAGGGCTATGTTATGTATATTTCCTTATGGTAATACATCTGTTGTCAGGTTTGGCCTTAAGAAACATTCTTACATTTTCACTGTTGCTATGCTTCTTGAATTCACCATGGTGTCATTAAGAAATTCTCTACCTAATTAGTAATCTGCTCAGATTTGATTGTGGAGAGTCTTGGAGATAACTGCATGTCTACAATAGTAGGCCATTTTAAAAGCAACTAAAAGCAGAGCTACAGTTATAATATGCATTCAAAATATATTCATTATGTCAATTCATTAATTAGTAATGTTTTTCGTAATCCCCTTTTAAAAAGTACTCCTGGTTTCCTTATAAAATTGCAAACTTTTTGTTTATACCCAGGAATTATATCAGAACAAATGGTTTCATTATAATATTAAAATTATTGAATTATTATCTTCTTGGTAATGCTGGTTTTCATAAACAGTAATAATTAGAATAATTGACGTGCTATTTTTAATATTCTGTGCATATTTATTTTTTGGTAGATATTGTAGCAAATTAAAGTTCAAATAAAATATTCAAAATAAAGTGTAATTATATGAAACACATCTATACAAGCATCTACATGATACTTCATTAAAGTAAATGGAAAAGATGTAGAATGTGTAAAACCTGTGTAGGATTGAATAGGAAGCTCTATTCATCACAGCATGTGGAATAAACTTTGGCTGCTTGTGAAAAAGCTAAGTTAATCAGTAAGGAATATTTGTGTAAGGGGGAGGAAATTCACATTGGATGCTTGTTTGTATTAGTTTTAATGTTGCTATTAATATGCAATTTTATTGTTTGATTTATTATATTGATTTAATAGTTGTATTAGAATAGGTAGAAGACTGCTGAGTGTTTTATTTAAACAGATGGAATGATGAAAACTGCTATATAATCAGTAAGCTGATAGAAGAAGAAAAACATATAACTGGAATAGACATATATTCCAGATAGGAGATAGAAAGTTTTTTTTAATGACTTTTTGCTTAGAGCTACACATTTTTACTAAACTGTAATATGATTGGTTTGGGCTTGCCATGCTGTGTAAATCCTGCTTATAAATCACAGTTTATGGCTTAGCATATTATGTAAATGCAAGCATTTGTGATATATTTTTATGCAAATGACTTTTTTTCCTCCATCCCTTGCAATAACTTTCAGAACAGACATGTTCATGACATCCATGCTTATATATTTTAGTGCTGGTCTACAGGAGGCTAACAATTGATTTTCATTGGAGAAGAAGGAAGGCTTCTTTGTCTGCAATTTGAAACATATTTAAACTTGCTGACTTTACAATATCTTGCTTTTAGTTTGGTTTCCTTTCACCCACATGTCCAGTTCTGGTCTACTGCAAGAGAGCTTAAGTAATGAGAACTACCTGGACAACCCCCCCCCCCCCAATTCTGCTCAGGGAAGGGGAAAGGATCTAATATAACTATTGTCTTACTCCAAAACTGTTTGTTCTGTTTAAGATGAAATTTGCTTTTGCACCTGTTTTTTAAAGTATCTAAGTGAGCATTTATCTCCTGTTACCTCTGTTGTGGTGATTAATGTCTGTCTTATTAAAACAAAGTGACTTGGCTGGGGCATCTTTGGGAGAGAGGATTAAAGATAAAGTTTGAACTATCTGCATAAGTGTTAGAGTAAATAACAGTTTTTGGTTTAAAAATTGCACAAATCATCAGTTTCTTTCTTTGATTTTGGTTTAGTGTGTCGTGTATCTAGCCCATGTGCAAATCATGATACCAACTGGTGGCAAAAAGTAATTCCTGGATGGGGCAGATTTCCCCTCCTCTCTCAAATTTTATAAGTCTAATAAGCAAACAAACAAAACAGAAAAAAATAGTTGCATTGATACCATGGAGTCTCTGTTTTATATGTGTTCTTTTCCTATAATTCCTTGGCTGGATTTATACTGGTCATGACGGTTTTGGCAACTATCCCTTGTGGATAATTCAATAAGCTAGTTAAAGCCTACGTGGGACCTTAGTCATTCTCTTGAGGGGAAAACACTCAGGGCATACTACTGCCAACTCTCATGAGCAAAATATTTTCAACTGATGTAGAAAAAGTTTTATCCTGTCCTAGACAGTGCTGGTAGAGAATTAGCTTGTGCATGTCCTATACTAGCCATAGGACAATCATGCACCAGGATCCTGCCATATCTGCATGATGTTGCCTTTATCTTATTCCCAATCTGTCATCTCATCCCCAAGCCATGTATTAAGCAGTTTTAACTTGTCCTTACCTGTTCTGGTATAAAGGTAGGGTTTTCTATTCTTTTGTTTCACTATAGAGTCCTCATTCTTCTTGTCAGCTATTGGCCAGGCTTATTTTCAAGGTACCTATATATAATGTAAAAAAATTAGGAGTGACTTTTGACCAATCTGTATCAAGCCATTTGTCAAAATTCAGGTCCTCCTGAAGCCTCCTAGGTTAAGGAGAGCAATTGGATACATGGATGGATGGATGGATGGATAAATAGATAGACAGACAGACAGACAAAAAAAATGGTAAAACCATGGGACAGTTGCTGTTGTACACTAAGGACACAGAACGTCTGAAAGGAAGATATACTGTATATGAAATTCTAGAGAGGAGCAGAGATAATATGAGACAAAGGCTTTCATATTGGAAAATGTGCAGAATTTTTTAAACTTGTCCCAAATAGGGAGATCTACTAAGAATGTGTCTTAATGTCCTCCTCCTCCTGCTCTGCTCAGGTTAATATAGTGCAAGAGAGGATAAGCATAAGCTGTTCATTGAGAATGTCAGAACTGTTAGGGTTTGCAATTGCATTCTGGAAAAGTTTTACATTTTCCAAACTAGACAACAGCATTGGAATTCCTAAGCCATACTTTCTTCAAATATTAATTAGGGCTGACCCTGAATAGGTTTCAGAAACAGCCAAGACAGCAAGGTGCTATATCTCCTGAGGGACATAATACAGATGTCTGAAATTGTTCATAACACAGAAAATAGGAACAGAGCAACTTTTCTCCTCCTTTTACCATATAACAAAATCCAAGGTTATCTACTGAAGCTAACTTCAGGGAGATTCTGGAAAACCCCCCACTTTTTAACACATGTGCTACTAAATAATTCCTTCTAAAGAAATGTATCTGCCAGTCTCTGCCGTAGAGGAATATAGATTTCAAGTTTACCAGCCCAGGAATCTCAGTCTCATCATTTTCTATGTATCTTTATTCCTTACTTGGCAAAGGAGTGCTATTTTGTGATTGAAGATTCCAAGGAAAGTCACCAAATAAGATATTCAAACCATATTAGCAAATGAATCGGGAAGCAAATACCATAGATTGATCACAACCAAAATTCTCCCTAATTATCTTATAGTACCTTTTAAAACAGATGGGATTACAGCAGGAACATATTGCCAGCTGTTATAGCTTGCCATGTGTTTGTTTTATACAATTATGACAAAGGCCAAAGTCTGAAGAAGTATATTAAATTGCATGAAGAAGAACCTGGCCAAGAAAGCTGAAGAACAAAAACAAAAATATTTTCCAGCTCGCAATATGTCTACTGAATTCCACCGATACTCTCCAGAGTTATTTAGATCTTCACTGCATTTGGTTTGTGTCAATCCATTGCTGGCATTTCATTGCTGTATTCTCATGGTGATTTCCCACTGGGAAGAACTTTTTCCATATCTGTCCTCCATCTCTGCTAAACTCAAGAGTGCATTGCCTTCATGTCAGCCTGCTTTTAAAACTGAACTGAAGAATGGCCTAATAGCCTCTCCTCATAGTGACAGGCTTTTTCTCCCCCTTGCTATGAAAACACATATAGTGAGGAAATTAGGATAGATCTGTCTACCCACTTATTTTGATATGTAAACCTATTTGGAATGTATAAATTTATATTTGGAAGAAATTGATGAGCATAAATGAAGCTTAAACTCTCTGAAAAAGGAAAGAATGTTATGTGATCCATAATAGTATATTTTGAAAATGCACTGATGCTTCACATTCCCCAGGACCTTTTCAGTTCATCCAGTATGCTTAACTGGATCTTGACCTTTATCCTTCAGCCTGATTTTGCAGATGGTCTATCTATAAGATTTTTGTTCTCTCCCAAGGAAGGCAAACAGCTGTGTGGCCTAGAAAGATAATGTTGTGCCTATTGATTTATGTTAGGAAAGGTGGAGATGTTGAAGGCCTCAGAGGCATTTCTTAGATAAGAAATGGAATCTGTTTAGAGATTTGTTAAACACTTAACTCTTTCTCAAAAAGCCTAGTGCAAACCAGTTACTTTATCCCTGTAACATGATGCAAGTTAAAATGCCATCCCCTGGAGTGCCCAAGCTTAATTTTTGTAATTTCTAGTATGCACAGTATATACGTGGAGGAAAAAACAAGCATTTTCATTCAAGGCTTAATGTCTACATTGAGAAATATAATTTAAGGATAATTCTCTTGTAATTACTGTAGAAATCTAGAGAAAGAGGCAGCTTGCAGCCCTGCCGCTGCATTACTTAACTAGATCTTTGCAAGTGATCAATTTATATGTCAAATAAGGAAATTGACCCATCCTCCCCTCTAGCTTTCTGAATGCAGAAGAGGAAAGAAAAGAAAATGTTAAGAATTGAGACAAGGGAAGGTGTCAGAAGGGAAGATGGGTGGCTGGTATAGATTTATTCCAAACTCTTGACAGTGGTCATATCAGTAAACTCTTGCAGTGTCCTTTGCAATATCTGTGTCCTAGGAGATAAGTATTTACTCCCATTCAGATAAGCAATCCAAGGGAGTTTCTCACAGCTGTTCATTTAAAGTTAGGGTCTCAATAGACATCTGTAGCTTCAGCCATTTTTTTTCTTCTTTTGCAGATATACTCTCCTTGGGTTGTAACATTAGCCTTGTGGTTTCATCTCCAGCATAGCATCTA